CAAGCTGAGCTCAACAACTCTGTGTCGGAGTGTGTAGATCCTGCAGTGGTGTTCCCCTTTCCTATCCATAAACGGGAGCCAGTGGCACCCACCCCAACCTCAGCAACGGGGGAGATGGCTGGCATCCGGGTGAACATTGGTGGCAATAGTGGCACTGCACAGGGAACAACAGCTGCCTCTCAGCGCAGCAGCCGCCACGCCAGTGCTGCCAGCGACACCAGAGCCAACAGCAGCTCAGGAGACGACACTCTCAGCGACTCGGGTAAATACTCCACCCAGCACAGATTTGTTTGGCTTTGTGCTTACCTTGAGAGGTGTGTGAGGGGCATGGTTGCCCCTCCTCAATGCAGCTTTCCAAGTTGCCTCTTCTTTAGGAGGCATCTCCCTCTCTGGGGCAGAGGGAAGCAGAGGTGGTTTCTTAAGGGAAGCCTAGCAATATTCACTTTGCTTCAGGTGAATGCTGTTTGCAGTCAAGCGAACTAACAGCTGTTGACTCAGGTTGATGGAGTCTGGGATGGGACATTGTCATGGCAGGTTTGCAAAGCTCTTAGGCTGCAGGATCTGACAGCGGTGGTCTCCCCTCATCAAAACTGATCTCAGGCTTACATTTCCCCCACCTTCTAGGCACCCATTGTGGTCAAGAGACCAAAGAAAATAAAGCCACGGTCCTAGGCCATGCCCCCTTTGTTTGTATCTTGCCTCTTTGCAAGTCAGGAAAAAAAAAAAGACTGAGGGAAAGTTGATGGCCATATGCCGTAGTGCCTGAGGGCATCTCCTCACCTTGATGTGATTGGGTAGAAAGAGATGAACAGTGAGTAAAATGGCAGCAGAAGCATTAGGGCGTGGATCCAGGGAAGAACAAGTGTTGCAAAATTAACCCCGTGTAGAACATCCCAGTCCTTTGAGCCCCTGGGGCAGGAGAGCTGCTGCTCAGGAGAGGGGAAAGTTCACTACCAGGAGCTTCAGAGGAAGCACGATGAATGCACAAGGTTAGCCTGGAAGAGGGGAAGCTTGCAAATCTCAGATAACTGATTTATTTTTCTTTATCCAAAACATAGCCTAGAACAAACCCCTTCCCTCACTGTCCCAATGGGTGCGTTTGTTTGACTCCCTCCCAGCTGTATAAGAGGGATGGATTTGCCAGCAGGTGGCAGCATGCTTGCCTGAGGACACTGCCTTTCTGAAAGGTTTCCTTGAGGGACCTATTTGCAGACAGCTGGTGATAAAGCAGACAGTGGTTGGCTTTGCTAAGGGAAATTACTAAAGGATGTCCTATTCCAGGGGCGTTTGAGTTATAGAGTCTAGATAAACTGTTTTAAAAAAGAATCCTTTTCTATGTCAAACTCAAAAAATCTGAAAAATGCTGGCTATGAAGAGCATACTGTGTACGTAAGGCATTGACAACACAGTAAGAGATGCTTCCAGTTCTGAGTAGTCCTAAGTCTTGTACAGGGCTTTCAGTTGCCTAGGCAGTGTAATAGTTTAGCAGAGAAATACTTGCATTTACAGACAGAAGAAAATCTAGACGGCTAAAAAAAAAATTGCTCCCATGCACAAAAGCATCTATGTATGTGGAGAAGTCCAGTTCATTTGTAAACAGTTTCACTCATGTAAATGAGCAGATCCATACGACCATCATCATAAACTTGATGATAAGCCCTGTTTCAAAAGCCTTGCTGTCCCTTTCGTGTCCGCGCCTTGACAGCTTTCGGTGAGGAAGCAGTTCCTCTCAACAGCTGTCTTCTTGGCAGTAAACCAAAACACTGGCTTAAAGGGACCACAGACGGGAACAGCTTCACGTCCTGCATCAGAACAAATCCAGCGATTGTTTCGTTTTCTGGCCACTTTTCAATCAATCAAGCAAGGGATGTGTTGTGATTTTTTTGATTTAATGCTTCTTGTGTATGTGTTGTATGACCCAGCTCAATGATTAAAATAAAATGAAGGCATTTTCTCGAGTACTGTTTACCATGGTGAGTTTATTTGGCTTGCACCCAGGTCTCTCTCATTTTTCATTTTGAAAGTGCAAAAAACTCCCTGTTCCTAGAGTTTATCATTTCACATTGTCAGAGATAGTAGTTTATTGTGTACGTATGTATGTTGTGTGTGCGCATGTCTATCTCGATCAGTCTCTATGGACAGATAGTGTACACACCCTATCTAGACTTATCTCTGCAGCCAGATACTATAAGCACACTAGTTTTGCCTTTGATGCATTTATGCTTTTAATAGATATCTGTAGCATTTAAAGATTCATATTTGCCCTGAAAATGTGAGGTTCTGTTTAAATATGATTTAGATTGATGATTTTTGTAATTTTAAGGAGAATAACTTAATTTATTTACATTTTCTCTCTCTTGAAGACGATGAAGATGAGGAGGAAGAGGATGAAGAGGAAGAAATCGATGTTGTGACAGTGGAGAAGAGGCGTTCCTCCTCCAACAAGGCGGTTACAACCCTTACCATTACTGTGCGCCCTAAAAATGCCACCTTTGCAACAGTGAGGACACAGCAGAATGAACTGATTTTAAAGCGTTGCGCCCCAATTCACCAGCAGCATAATTATGCTGCTCCTTCTCCATACATGGAAACTGAAGATGCCCCACCACAGAAAAAGCTAAAAAACGAGGTGCCCCGTCCAGTAAAACCTGTGATCCAACCAAAGTCTAAGAACTCAAGTCCTCGAAACTCAGATTCAGAGGACAGTGAACGTCGACGGAACCACAATATCTTGGAACGCCAGAGGCGTAATGACCTGAGGTCAAGTTTCCTCACGTTAAGGGACCATGTACCGGAACTGGTTAAAAATGAGAAAGCTGCAAAAGTTGTGATCTTGAAAAAAGCCACTGAGTATGTCCATTCCCTTCAGGCGGAGGAGCACAAGTTATTGCTAGAAAAGGAAAAATTGCAAGCCAGGCAACAGCAGTTGTTAAAGAAAATAGAACACACACGGACTTGCTAAACATTTTTGTCTGACCTGGACAGTCACTGCCACTTTGCACATTTTTGATTCTTAAAAAAAAAAATTGTGTTTTTTGACGTTAAGAATGTTGGTTTTACTTTCAATCCAGTCCCTGAAGTAGTTGACAAACTATATTTTCTGGGTACAGAGCAAATGGATGTTCTTGCAAGGAGTTCAAGAGACTGCCAAACAATGGACTGCCCTTGTATTTCTTCTTAAGAACTGTAGATGTTCTTTAAATGTTGTGAGCATTTGGAGCTGCTGATGACACCTAGTTGAGTTTAAAAAAAAACCATTCCTAATTTTTATGGTGCTTATGTTCTAACAATGTTACTTTTGGGGTTACCATTTTTACCCCCGTGGGATTTTTCTGTAAATACCATCTACACTTGCCTTTTGTACATGTCTTGGGTTATGAGAGGTGGCTCTTGCTACCAGTATTAGACTGGAAGTTCATACCTAAGTACTGTAATACCTCAATGTTTGAGGAGCATGTTTTTTGTATACAAATATATTGTTAATCTCTGTTATGTACTGTACTAATTCTTACACTGCCTGTATACTTTAGTATGATGCTGATACATAACTAAATTTGATACTTATATTTTCGTATGAAAATGAGTTGTGAAAGTTTTGAGTAGATATTACTGTATCACTTTTTTGAACTAAGAAAACTTTTGTAAAGAAATTTACTATATATGCCTTTTCCTAGCCTGTTTCTTCCAGTTAATGTATTTGTTAATGTTTGGTGCATAGAACTGGGTAACTGCAAAGTTCTGTGTTTATTTTCTTCCAACGATGTACATTTAGTGCTGCATCTTATAGCACTTTGAAATACCTCATGTTTATGAAAATAAATAGCAATTAAATGATGTGCTCTTTACTATTTTTTTAGATGCAGGTTTTCTCTTTTATATAAGTTCTGTTCAGTAACAGAGACAGAACAACTTGATCCCTGATCCCAGGCACTTAAAACCTCAGGAAAGGGATGATAGTACAAGTCAGGTGATGAGACAGAAAATTTCAATTTTGGCTACTACAGTGATTGCAATGGCAGCAATTCTCCTGTCTGTTCACATGTCATATTTCTCCTCTGATTCTATGCTCCCTTGAAAGCCAGTTGAAGTCAATGAAAAGACTCCAGTTGATGTTGAAAGGTTTTGGATGAGACACTGCATATGGAACTCTGTGGGCTTGAACCAATGCTAATTTATACCAGCTAATAGGTATAAAGTAGGTGATAGGGTTCACAGCTAAGTGAAAAGCAGATCATCAGGTAAATGAGCTGCCACAGAGAAGAAAGAAATGCATCTGTGTCATGTTCCTTCTTATATGTGTTGTCAAAAGACAATAACTCAAGTTGTGCACCATTTGATAGTAGAGTCAACACTTGTTCTGATCTGACTTCTGCATGTGCTCCAAATTCCTTTTCATTAAGCATCTATTAGTAATGCTCAAAAATCAGTTAATCAGTTTAAAATCTCACTTCTGCTTATGGCTCAGCCATATGGTATAGCTTACTAGTATGTAGGCTACCTGGATCCTGGAAGCTCATCATGCAACAAAAAGATCCAGAATTAAGATCAGTAAATGGCTGGTTACAAGAACTGGGAGGGTGGTATAGAGGCAGAGCTATTAAGTCTATGAAATGTACTTGATTGCTGAACCACAGTCGGTTTTAGAAGGTGTAATGGGTCCAAGGAGCTGACATACCAACCAGGCTCAGAAGGTGCTCAGCCCTGCCCTGCTTCCCCACACTATTATCATTGCATGCATCTAACATGTTTTCAAAGTCAAACTTAAGGAGTTTTCCTTAAGGACAGTGGCAGCTTATCCCACTAATACATAATCCAACATAAATTAGTATAATATATTTCCATTAGCTGAACAAGTTTTTAAATGCCATAAACATGTATATTAAATTCCAGCTATAAATTTAGACCTGATTCTACAATCATTTCAAACAGAGACCTCTCATTGAAGTGGTGGGCCTTTTGGTAAGTGGGAGAATCAGACGCAGGTTTCCCTTAAACAGAAGAGGTAAAAAAAAACTTGCTGTGTTAACTTTAACAGAGAATTCCATTTCAAGTGTTTTGAATGCCATCACCATGCCAGCTTTAAATAGAAATTTCTATTTTACCGTTTTATTCTTGAAACTTGACAGAGCAGTTCTGGCTAGGGAAAAAAAAAAGCAGTGACGTAAATAGGAAAAAGGAAATTATTTTCACATGCGCAGAACTTTAGGTGGTTCTCATTTAAAGCCTGATACCAAGCCCAAGTCTTTCCATTGGCTTCAGTTGGGTTGAATAAGGCCCTAAGTCAAGTCACCTGAATAGCAACTGTTATAGTGACACGGAGTCATATTTCTAAAACAAAAGCAAAAGATGAGAAACTATTTAACAATAGACAACTACAATCTTGTCTACCCAGGAGCATTTAGTTGTTCTAGCCACTGACTGACTTGAAACCAGTGCTCAAGCCCCGTTCTAGCAGCAATTGCTGTTAGAGAACTGTTCTGAAGCACTGTTTTTAAATGAAGTCATAAGAAGCACAGGCTTTATTTCAGTAGGGAAAAGCAAGTTTTTTCAAACATCCATCGTATCCCTATCCCACAGCCAGGTTTCCACAGCCAGATTCTTAACATCAATTTGTAAACAGACAGAATATAGATGTAAAAACCATGCTACCGCTGTAATTTGATACTTTCACACATGCTTACATCCTGTGTTATGGACAAATTCTTGAGAGCTATGACAGGGTCTGTGTACTAGGTATTCAGTATAAGGAAACAGGTTGAATAATGTATCAGAGAAAATTGCCATCTACTCTGTTCAGAGTCAGATGTCATGTTCACTGTTGCGGTATCTGAGTATTTAGGGATCAAGACTGAGTGTCAAACCAAGACTTAGACTGTTTGTTTAAAGACTCAGCACAAAATCCTGTTCTTAAGAGCCTTTCCCAAAGAATAGGGATCTGATCCAATTGCTACTGAATTCAGTGATAAAACTCCCAGTGACTTCAGCTCAGACTCCTGGTGACTTCTGGCTTAGGATGATTAAGAAATGCTCATATACACAGCAGCATTAATATCTTCTGGCTTTGCTAGTGTTTCTTTTTTCTTTTAAATAATGTTTGGAAACTCGTAAGTTTGCTTTCAGACTGTAGCACCATGCAACAATTTGCCAGGGACATTTTTATATTCCAACAACATTAGAAACTTTCAGTTTTTAGAGTTGGGTGTTTTTTTAAATCACCCCAGTCATAAATAAACGGAAGTGATTTCTGGGTTTTTAAATATTTTTTGCATATGAAAGTGGTTATTGAAATGAAAACAGGGAGCCATGACATGGACTCAAGATTTTGATTTATTTTTGTTTTGGAGGAGGTGATTGAGGTCCAAGATAGATTTAGCGGAGTCTAAGGATCTTTAGCAGTTTCACAAAGATCAGTACAGAGATGTAGACAGCAGGCAAACCACTCCTTGCCAATCTGGGAAGTTAAAAGAGTCTGTGAGTACTCAGCAAAATAGAGAACTACTCCATCCATCTGCTTCTTTTAATATATGTATCGTATTTTCCTGACAGACCATATTATCTCTGGAGAGAGATGTTTCAAACAATCACTTAGCACTGTTTCAGAAGTCTCTGTTTAAGGACCAAATTCTGCCTTCAGGGCAACCCAAATAGCCAAAATAAGTTACACTTATTAAGAAAACTTTCTCTGTGGAAAGATTATCCTGTAAAGTGCCTACTGCAATGCATGTTGCTCCTTCCTCTACAATCTGAGCACCAAACAGTCACAGAGAGGATGCTGGAATAGATCCTCAGTTCCTTTATGTGAGAAAAATGTACACTTACTGCTGACTGAGCCAAATTCATTTCTCCCAGGTCACACATTTGTAGTATGTCATACCTGAGTTAAAATGACTCCCACAGGACATTTTACCCACTCTGTTTTATTTGTTTTATTAAAAATACCCCTACAAACACAAGGAACTTTAAACACCAAAACAAAATGAGCCCCCATAAAGCCGTATAAGCAAAAAACCACCATCAGGAGAGCTTAAAGAGGTGAAATGCGTTAATGATGTCATTATCACTAGGTCACCTCTTGCCATTAATTCAAGTGAAAGTAAATTTCCTGGACCCCAAGCTGCTGTTATAGCAACTTATCACCAGGTCTTGCCAGAAATTGCCTGAGATTTCATGACATGTACAGTTCACTCAGGTCATGTCTGTTCCCATTATATGTATCAATATACTTAGCCGCAATGAAATGACTGAAGAATGATTTCAACCTTGAGCCTGTATTTCCCGGCTTGTTACTCTTCTAAATCAGGAGATCAAACTTGTTTAAGCAATATGTTTTGCATATGCATTTGCTAAAATAACTTCTGTTTGATTTTATATGGTTTAATTTTACCTGTGCAAATACAACCTGAACCCGTCTCAGGATTCTTTTTTATTGAAATAATAATTTGCACATCCATGATGTCTATTTTATCAGAGGCTTACAAAACAGTTTGTGACTATGGGCACTTTTACACATGCTCCGGGGGCAGGAGCGGTGTTTTAATTAGAGTGGCTCTGACAGCCCCTCTAATTAAAGCACTGCTCTATCTCCTGTGTCAGTCCCTGCACTTAAAAATGGTGGTGGGGTGCTTGAATTAAAGCTCATTCAATGAGCTTTAGATAAAGTGCCTCTACCACCATTTTAAATGCAGGGGCATTGATACACGAGATGCAGGAGGCTGCTGAAGCATGACAATTGAATCAGTCAAGCAGAATTGATTAATCAAGTCTATTCTGACTACTGAAGCAGACTGCGCACTGGTATATAGGAGTCCTATGTGACCCCTGTGAAGTACGTATTGACTTCAGTAGATGCCTAGCATTTCTGTAAATCCCAAAAGAATTCTGTTGCAAAGCCAGGATGAACTCTTGGTTACAGTGGGCATACCTACAGGAGATGTTTAGTGTGGAGCTGCCTAATTAGCTCCACAGTAAACATCTCAGCTTCTATAGGTGCACCCCTATGAGGGCGCAGTAAACTAATAAACTCTGCTGCAAATTAGTACTTTTAAGTGTAAGTACTACCCTGTGGTAGAGTTTGTTAGTGTACAGCAATTAACATGTAGATGCTGATGGGGCTGACTGGGGTATGAGTGTGCCTTGGTGCAGGGGCTGCCTGTCAGCTAGCCCTGCGCTGTAGCACTGTTGTGCCGCACCCAGCTCTTCTGCAACACATGGAGCTGGGTCAGAGCAGCCCTGGGTTGGCAGGATGACCTCCTAGGGCTGTTCTGACCTGGTTCAATGTGCTGTGGACTTGGGCGCACAGTGCCTGGGACCAATTAATTCTGACACAATATGTGCTGGAATTTATTGCTTCAGATAAATTGCATGTGTAAACACACCCAGTGACACTAATGGAAGTTTTGCTGTTGACTTAATTAGAGCAAGGATTTCACTCCTAAGGCTGACCTCTGGATTCCTGTTCTTTTTGCCTTTATGGTAATGCTGTGCATTCCCTGTTTTTTTCCAGCTCTTTCACTGAGGGGGCACTCATGCGTGTTAGGTGAGCAACATTTGTCCCACTGAATAAAATTAATTTCTCTCCCACAGATGGTTGTGATGTTGTAAAAAATACATTCAAAATCTAAAGGCAAGTCCCTATACCCATCAAAACTCCCTTCTGAAGGATCAAGGTTGTTATATTAGATCACCTCCATTTTTCAGCACGGGGATGCTGATACATGTGATCCTGGAGTCTTCTAGACTCCAGTAATTACCATGCTCCAGCAGACTCGATTAATCAAATCTGTTCTGACGCGCTGTAATTACAGCATGTTGTAGCAGCCTCATTGCATGTGTAT